CAATCACAGCCGGGGTTATAGCCACCACCTGAATCTCAATGGGTCACCAATTAAACGTGGACGTTCACAAGGATGGGACTCGTGCAACACATTTTAATCACTAAGTTTTATACGAGCAGAACTCGGTTCGTGTGTCTTCCACACGTAAATAAAACCTTTTTTTTTCATAATCCATCAGCCTCTATATTAGTTATTCGAGATCACTGTTATCAAGCAGCTTTGTTTAAGCAAGGCAACTGAATCGGTTTCCACCTTCTGGGTCTCATCAGCACAGTCAGGATTGTTAAACAAATGCTGCTGCGTGACCAGATGTTGTCGGCAAGAGCACTCCGCCGAAATTATAGGGCCCTACTCGACGCAAAAAGCAATGGCGTGCACAAAATGATGCGTTGTTGTGACAAATCATGGATAAAAGCACGTTACAAATACTAGAAAACAAAAAATTAACCCGTAAAAACAAAGTTTTTCACTATAAATCTTTTATATGCGTGGCATCGGTTTTATTTTATTATTAATTTCTGTTTTTCTTGAGTAAGAGTTTCAATTTTATCACATTGGTATTTTAAATTAAATATGAAAAAATCTTTTCCCTAAAAAATTGTCACGCACAACGAGTTTGTGTGCAAAATGTCAGCTCGATTGGATCACGGGAAGTGGGTTAAAAAACGACCGAAAGATTTGCACGGTCGTAAGCGCGCAAGCAAGCAAGCAAGTGAACTTAATATAAAGGATTTAAAAAAACAAATACGCAATAATATTTGTCGGTCTCGCTGACCAAACTTCAAACTGGTGCTTAATTATATGATCCTTTTGTCAACGGACGACACATTTGTTAATACAGTTCAGAGCGTGGCGATTCACGACCGTTGTCATGCAGCGGTTATAACCACGGGTATAACATTCCTTAAGTCTGCCTTGCTGTCCACAAGGGTGGCAGTTGTAGGGCGTAAGCGGGGGAAGGGACGGCAGGGATCAATTTGAAACATCAAGTCGAATTCCAGGATAAATGTAAGCTATCATTGGGCCTTGTGATGAATGCACCGAGGTTGGTGCACCTTTGTGTACATCGCAAAGGGTGCAGGTTTGATGCTTGACGGGCTTGGGAAGGAGGCGAATATGAAGAAGAAGAACAACAACAACGCCGGGCAATGCGGCGTGGTGGTGCGATGGCCGTTGCGTCCAGCGCACGTGGACACACACGCACACACGAAGACCAGAGATCCCTGTTCGGCCTTTGATTGCCGCCAGCGAGCACCGATTAAAGCCAACACGGTGCACGGTGCGGCAGGGGTGGGAAGGGGGGTGATGTGGTCAGAACCGTGCCACGGCCGAATTTGTCTCTCCCACACACCGCGCCAGGTACTCTTTTAAGGCTGAGTCGACCTAGGGGAGGCCCAAAGCCAGTTCAAATATTTGCCGCTGTCATTGATCGTGAGCGGGATTGGGACTCAGGTCGCCGGATTCGTAGTGCGGTGCGCTAGACGACCACTCCACGCGCACGCAATCGCACGCGCGCGCGCGCGCGCGCACGCAATCGCACGCACATATGCTCACGGTCAACTTCAACGGCGGAAGCGAGGAACCCGATCAGGTCATCCCTGGCTCTTGCAAATCAACAAGAAGGGGGGGGGGGGGCGCGTGGGTGGCGGGGGGTATGGAGTGATGTTTCCTTTTGGAGGTCACACTGCGTATTACTCGGAATAAAAAAAAAACATGGAAAAGACAAATAAATGGGTCCATACGAAGCTCACGCAGACGACAACGGTGTCAGGCGGCATCCACGCGCGCGCCAGTGGCATTTGCTGGAAGCGTCACGGAGTAGAACGCAGGGAATTATTGACGTCCATCTGAAATGATGTTTTTTTTTTTTGCCCAAGCACCAAACGGACGCAATTACAGCACGAGGCTCTGGTTTAGCCAGCGGATTTACTCAGACGCGGCGTTGCCAACCGTTCCAGCTTTCCCAGGATCGTCCCTGTTGTTGAGGTTGTTCGTCCCGGGGAAAAAAAAATAGTCTTCTCGGGACATTGAGAGAGATGTAAATATCGACATTACACCACTCAATCTTGACTTAAAGCTTTCGTGACTGACTTATTATTTTATTATTTTTTTATCTACGTGACTTTACCGAAAGACCCAAAGACTGTACACAACTCAAGTTCAACGTTTTTGCACATCCTCTTGCAGAATTCGGAGATCTTCATCTTCCCATTTACGATCCCGTCCCATTTTTCTGTTGCTGTTGTTGCCGTTGTTGTTGTTGTGTGCACGGCAGAAGTGGCAACCCCCCACTCGTGGGGGGGGGGGGGGGACACACACGTCTTATCGAGCGAGCGAGAGCGGACCGGGTGCTCTTCGCGGAGCGCCGCTCGCTGCAATCGCCATAGCGGCAGCAGCGGCAGACTCGGGGATTTTCCCGTGCGAGGTCACCCCGATGGGAACGTTTTGTGTGTCGCGTGCGACGAAGTGGGCCCGCTGGCTGTGCACAGGTTGATACTTGTCGTGTTCATTGTCGCTAATGTCGTCGCCGCTCGAACATTGATGGTGTTGTTTTTGTATCTGTGCGTGCGTGTGTCAAGGAGCGGTGGTGTAGTGGTTAGCGCGCTGCGCTGCGAACCCAGTGAACCCGAGTTCGAGTCCCGCTCGCGGTCAACACCAGGAACCGGTTCAGTGTCTGAACCGGTTCCTGGGCCTCCCCTGGGTCGACTCAGCCTCAAACGACTACCTGGTGCGGTGTGTAAACATCACCACTCGGGATACAAAGGCGGTCAGGTGTGGTACTGGCCACCAACCCCCTCGTGTGCCGTGCCGACCTTCATAGGTGCTCGCTAACAGCACTTGCCCCAAGAGTCTGTTAAGGCTATACGGGGGATCTTTGTCTTTGTGTGTGTAATGTATTATTCTCACGCGGGTAACTGCGTCGATGACCTTTTAGTGGACGAGTGAAAAAAAGAAGCTATATAGCTCATCGGATTCCTCCAGTCTAAATAAACATTCTGATTCTGACTTGTACGGAGCCGTGAGCGCGGATACATGAAAGTCAGCTACTCGGGTACGTACGCAAACACGTGTCCGGGTCACGTATACTATGCAAGCATTAATCCATGTGTGCACATGTACACTAATTTAAGGCCGAGTTGATCGAGAGGAGGCCCGGAAACCAGTTTGCCACTGGCGTCATCTGTGGCTGACCACCGCCTCCCCACACACAAAAATACACAAAGACAAAGATCCCCCGCGTAGCCTGACCAGACTGTTCGGGCAAGTGCTGTTAGCGAGCAGCACCTATGAAGGCCGGTACAGCACACGAGGGGGTGGGTGGCCAGCACCACGCCCGGGCCCGCCTTTGTCTCCACCAGGTACTGATTTGAGGCTGAGTAGATCTAAGGGAGATCCAGGACCGGTTCAGACAATCGTCACAGGAGTTGTCGCCCGGGTTCGCAGCGCGGCGCGATAACCGCTACAGCACGCACACACACGGATATACTAGCCACGTAATATAGACACACACACGTGAACATTGCGCGAATTAAACGATTCACCGTGGTGAGAACAAAACTCAAATGAACAAAAAACACAACACTCTCGTCAGATGTCACGCGTGAAATTAAAACGCGCGCTTGAAGAAAGTTGAACACCTTGCGCACACACGCACACACACGCACACACCACGCACACACTCACACATGCACACACACGCACACACATGCACACACACGCGCACACACGCACACACACTCACACGCGCACACACGCGCAAGCACGCACACACTCACACATGCACACACGCACGCACACACACAAACACGCACACGCGTACACACACACGCACACGCGTACACACACACGCGCACACACGCGCACACACGCACACACGCGCATATGCGCACACGCGCACACACACACGAGAGAGAGCGAAAGAGCCAAACCTCGCTCAGAAAGCCAGAGGGTGACGCGAGTGATGACCGTCGATTGTACCGAGACTCTTTTTCTCGCTCAAACACACACGCGCACACACGCGCACACACGCACACACGCGCATACGCGCACACGCGCACACACGAGAGAGAGCGAAAGAGCCAAACCTCGCTCAGAAAGCCAGAGGGTGACGCGAGTGATGACCGTCGATTGTACCGAGACTATTTTTCTCGCTCAAACAAAAAAGACAAAAACGCAAAGATGCCACCCCCCACCACACTCGCTCTCCCACCCCCTCACCCTTGCCCAGGTAGCCTTTGCAGACGATTGGGGAAAGTGTTGCTCCAGCGAGCGGCACCTATGAAGTCTGGCAACGGCGCACGAGGCGATGGTGTGTGGAGCACAGCGCCCGGCCGCGTTTGCCTCCCGATCGGCGATGTTTAGAATGTGGACGATGTTTACGATGTGGGCGATGTTTACGCACCGCCTAAATATTTTTCGTCACCGATGTCGGCTGCGAGCGGGAGTCAAACTCAGGTCCGCCGGGTTTGTGGCTGCGTGCGCTGACCGCTAAGCTACCGCTACCCACAACACCTCTCCCCCCCATACGCACACACAGACTTGCACCATACATATACAAAGAAGAAGACAAAGATCCCCCGCGTAGCCTTAACGGATTGTTGGGGCAAGTGCTGTTAGCGAGCACCTATGAAGGTCGGCACGGCACACGAGGGGATGGGTGGCCAACACCACGCCGTCTTTGTCTTCCCAGTGGCGATGTTTACACACCGCGCCAGCTACTCATTTGAGGCTGAGTCAACCTAGGGGAGCCCGTGAGCGGGAACCGCCAGAGTTTGTAGCGCAGCGCGCTGACCGCTACACCGCCGCTCCCCCACAAAGAAAAAGACAAAGATCCCGCGTATAGCCTTAACAGACTTTAGGGGCAAGTGCTGTTAGCGAGCACCTATGAGGGCCGCTCCTCCCCCACACACACATACACACACACATATACACATATATATACACACACATATACACACATACATACACACATATACACACACATACACACACAAACTCACCTGGCACTGTGCCACGTGGGGTGGCTCAGCGCCGGGCCGGCTGGCGCATTCTCCTCCTCGCCGGTGCCGCTCGATCCTGCTTGCGCACCTCTAGGGAAGCCGCTCCTGCGAGCATCGCCGTAGCAACTGAGAGGCGGGAGAGCAGGGACCGCGAGAGTGGTGGGGAGGGAGGAGGGGCAGGGAGCGCGAGTGAGACAGAAGGGGAGAAACACGGGGAGGGTTGAGGGTGGGTGGGTGGGTAGTAGGAGGAGGAAGAGAAGGAGGGACGAGGAGGAACGGGTGGTGAAGAGGTAGGTGGGTGGATGGGCGTGTAGGGGATGCGCAGAGGGACCCCGAGTGAGAGGGATTGGTCATAACGGGGGTAAGCCGAGGGGGTACGGTGGAGCGGAGAGGAGTAGAGAGGGAGAAGGGAGCTACGGAGCAGCGGAGACGGACCCTGGGAGAGATGCAAGAACAGAGATCATTCGTTTTGTTTCGCGTCACACGGTTTAGTCTTTAATTCGTTTCTATGCACCAAATGTGTAGCCGGTGGGCTCCGTTTCTCCCGCGTGTAACGTGGCGATAATCACCGCAAGAGGATCCTCGCCTGAAATCGCGTCTCTCGCCTGGCGAAGCAAAGGACCGTCCTAGAGATCGGCTGGCAAAAATAAAAGCCCCAAACGATGGGCAGACAAAACGCGACAAAAGGAAAGAGAGCCGATGGGTCGGCTATGTTAGCGGCTGGTGAGTTGCGTGACCATCAACGCACTCATTTACATACCCGTCAAACCGTACGGGTCAACCGTATTCTTGTACAGCAGGGAAATTGAGTTTTCAGGTCCGTACGGCGTACAGACGTTTCAATACGGGCACAAAACATTTTTTTTGTCAATTTGTTTGTGATTCTCCCCTTGTGATGGGACTTTGTGGGATGAACGTTGAGATTTGTAAGGGCACCGGGTGATCGATAAGGTGTGAATTGGTCTGCAATAAGGTAGGGCACTGATAGGGGGTTGTCAGGTTTGCATTTAGTTACCTTGATCTTCCAATTGCCTATTGGCGCTTCAAATTGCCTATGTTTCCCACACTATATTACGTACAGATTTTAGGCCGAGTCAACCTAGTGGACGTGCAGGCCGCATTCAGATAAATTAACGTCTGTTCACCACATCACCGCGGCACTAGTGCCAGGCTAGGTGCACCTTGAGACAAAGTGAAGTGTCGAAGGCTCGCCGCCAGGAGGTTACGGAATAGACCCAGGTGACATGGGTTGACCGACTGAGATGACTGGTCGATGCACCACCTGTGCCCCCTACTTTAGCCGCCTCGCACACAAGAACATACCCTTCGTAGCAAAGTCACATGCACACCTAATCACATGCAAAGAACAAGATGCCCGTACAGCCTACATAGACTGTTGGGGCAAGGGATGTAAGCGAGAGCCTATGAAAGCCGCCACGGTGCACAAGGAGTCTTTGTGGACAGCACCACAGCAGGCCAAGGGAATCATTATTGCGGCTGCATTTATCGGGGGAGTTTCAGAACCAGGGAAGACATCTGCCAGTGGTGCTGGCCGTCAGTGAGAATGAAACTCGGGTCGTCAGGTTTGCAGCATAGTGAGCCAACCGTTACGCTAACGCACTCCAATGTATCAGACAAAGATCCCCCATATAGCCTCTAACAAACTGTTGGGGCAAGTGCTGTTAGCAAGCACCGGCACGGTTCACGAGGGGGTAGGTGGCCAAAACCACGCCTGATCGCATTTGTCTCCAGAATGGCTATGTTTAAACACCGCACCACATAGGGGAGGCCCAGGACCGATTCAGATAATCGTCACCGGTGTTGGCCGTGAGCAGGAATCGAACCCGGGTCGCCGGGTTCGTAGCGCAGCGCGCTAACTGCTGCACCACCGCTCCCCTACACACACACACACCTTGCGCTCGCCCTAAGTGGCCACGGCCAGGGGCTTTCTCCTGAAGGGTGGCCGTCACCACAACCAGGGTCCGCGCGCGAATTGACCCGTGGGCCATTTCGCGACGAGCGTCTTTCTGTGCACACGAGCGAGTTGTCGCAAGGCGTCTGGAACCACGGGCTCATATGGGCGCGTTCACGCCCCCTTTCGTTTATTGCCAGCCGCGATAAATCCACTGCTGGATGAAGCCAGTTATTGGACGCGACGTGCGCAAGCATGCGCGTTGAACTTGATTCGCACCGTACGTAGCCAACCGTCATAATCGGAGGTGACAAATTGCACCCAAAAGGGCCCTGCCGCCGCACGAGCTGATTTCATCGCTTCCACCTCTCCTCTGTGGACGTCCTCTCGCGACTCTTCCGTTCCTCGGCTGAAACTCCTTCGTCGCTGTCGACCATCATCTGTCGTCCCTCCCCGTCGACGCGTCCTTCCCAAGCCACCGCCTATTAACGTAGGCAATGCATGTTGAACTTCCTTCGCGCCGTACGTAGCCAAGCGTGCCTTTCTTAACAGTATGAATTATGTTGTCTGCGTGCGTTCCCTTATCCGCGCGCTGCATCTTCCCGTCTCTCAGTCAAACTCCAGCCGTGCCTCCTCTCGCACGCTTCTTTTGCGAGCATTTTTCAGCTTTGAATTCGTTTTTTTTTGGTCACGACCATGTTTGTGAACCATGCCGCAGCTGTGAGTTATGTATTATCATCATTCTTGACGTCGTGCCGTCTTGGAGAACAACTAAAATAAATGATAATAAGAGAAGCTAAATATTGAACACCATAGAGCAAACCCTAACACAATTTTCCATCGGTAATCATTCCTTCATATGCTTGCTCTCACCCTCCAATTTTAAAATGGTCTCTAGATGTTAGCAGCTGACAAATGCTTTCATAACGGCAACACGCATTATATTCGTAAACATCTACAGGGTGAGAGGCTGATTTTAAAATCAGTGTAATCGCAATAGATTCAAATTGTAACGTGACGCACAGAATTCGCTAACTCTCAACGAGAGACAGAGAGAGAGGGGGAGGACGACTCAGATGCCCGAGGAGAAACCATGAACGAGCGAGGGAAGGCAGCAGCCACACGGGTGAGCCGGCGTCAAAATCCCTCCCCCCAAGCTCTGCATTCCTCTACATGTGAAGATGTCGTAGGCCAATTGACGAGCGTTCACGTATCGGAGGACACCAGAGCGCCCAGAGAAAACCCACGCGTGCGAGGGAGCAACGCTCTATCCCCGTACATATGGAACAGGTGGAGTCCACATTTTGCTGTACCGCCCTTCCCCTGGCAAGCCAGGGTATGGCACCTCCTCAATGCCCACGCGGTGGGAGTGTCACAACCCGTCTGCGCCGTGATCCACAAACCCTACTACTGCTGCTGCCTCCACAGTGCTGGATTTCGGGCTGCGCGTTGCGTAGCCACCACCACCACCCGGCTAAGTAGATTTTAAAACTTGTGAAAAAATAAGTAAATATTCATCATTTGTGCATGTATGTGACTCAGGTAAGAATCACACGATATTCATCCTATTGCTTATACACACAAACACACGATCAACGTAACGTGCTAAGTAGGTTATTGGCCATCTCTGTGTGCCATAGGGTGATGTGACTTCGGGTATATGTCCCTGGTGACATATTGTGAAGAACATTGACGTTTTCACTTTTGAAAAATGTGTCAACAAGTAACACATAGTCAGTGGATGATATATATGTGTCAGCTGGTGTCCATACTAAAACAAAAAGCACAGCTCAGGAGTCAGGAGGTGAGTGATTTGAGTCTTGCGTGGGGATTTATTTTTCAAAGCAGAATTTTCAACATTCAGGGCCGGTACAAAAACAGATGCCCATTATTTCCCACGTCTGATTGCGGTAGCGGTGTGGTTAGAAAACTCAACTCACAAGTGGAAAGATTTGGAGAAAAATCACGTAAATATATGGTTACGTTCTGACAGAGATACGATATTGGTCACTTGAAATGCATTGCCGCTGAAGGATGTTTGCGTCTAAGCTGTACCCAAAGGGTGACCAGCGTAGACGTAATAAAAATCAGTTTGCGCACAGAAGAAGACGACCTGATGATGCAGGCAGTGATGAGAAGGACATTGACACTGTCAGGACACACGTAGGTAGGATGGACAACAACAGGAGAATTAAAAGTGTTGTTTGTTAACATGGAAGGAACCGAAAGGAGACGTCACAGAGAACGGCTTGACGATGACGACGAGGACATCACAGGAGATTGGTGCCAGAAAAAACGCGGCCACTACTTGAGCCATATTGGCACAAGACAGAGAGACAAGTGGAAGCAAATGACGAAATGTGCAGTGGACACCCACTGGGCGATCTGCCCATGGATCGTGATGATGATGATGGCTCCACGGCCAGTGTCGGATGAAGCTAGTGCAGGGCCTGTAGCATGTGTTATGAAGAGGCCCTAAAAAAAACATACATTTTAAAACACACATTTTTAAGAGAATAGGTTTTTCTATTTTTTATAGCAACAAAACAGGTGTTAAGCTATACTCGTTGGTTCTTTCGGTAAAGTCACGTAGGTATAAAATTAAATAAATCACGACGTTTCGAGCGCAACACAGCTATCGTGCTGTGACGGTTCGTGCTGTGACGGTTCCACCTGAAGACGGAAGCTTGTGTTGCCTCCGAAACGTCGTGATTTTTATATTATTTTTATTTTACTTTATTTTTTTTTATCTACGTGACTTTACCGAAAAAAACCCAAGAATATGAATCATTGCAGTCACGAAAGCTTCAAATCTAGGTGTTAAGATGTTAAAACACCAAACTAAAACCTTTTCCAAGAAATCATGTCTGCATTAACCACAATACTTGTGGTCAGAATGCAAACAAAAAACATACTCTGATAATATAGGTTCATTTCGCCGTTCTTTTGGGCAGCGTGAGCTGAGTTTTACATTTGTACGGTTATCCCAACGTTGATCTTTATTAAAAAGTTTTGCCGTCTCGACATCATCCTGAGTGTGATCGTTTCGACTCGTACGTAGCCAACCGTGCAAAATCGGAGGAGAGCTTAAGTAAGGTGCTAAATAAGGAAAAATATAAAAATAATAACGATGCAAATTTGCAACGTGCACAATTTTTACTTGGCCGAAGGCAGCGGCCTTGAGGCGCGGAGGCCAGCTTAGAGATCCGCTCAGTAAAAGTCGAATAAACATTTTTTTTTAGAAGGCGCTT